TATTAAGTGTTGGAGCTTAACCCCACATTATAATTCCTAAAAAATTTAACCACAATAAAAAAAGTAAAAAGTACACCCACCTCAATGATATTAAAAAATAAAATTTAATTTTTGAATCACCCAGCTCTTGATCTCCGTCAATCTCCGATAGGGACAGTGGACCCTTGCAGCATATTTTTCCTTATGTTGTAATCTATGGGAGGAGTTGGATCATTATCAAATATTTAAACCAGCCTGTACAAAAAATGCAAATAATCTGTGGAACAAAACTGTATCTTTTATCCTAGCAAAATTGAACCCTGAGTTTGAGTCAGTTAGGGTTCCATCAATAAACGTCATGTATTCATTTATCCAAAGCGAAGAAAGTAGACAAGTGCCATGCTGCCTAAACAAGTAGTGGATCATTCTGCCCCTAGCCTCAGCCTCATTTGCTGGAAAAGGAACTGTAAAGATTTCTACTCCATCTTTCTCATTAGTTCTCCATGTTCCTGGCTTTGCTACAAACTTAGTGTCTGTCAGTTCCATTACTACGAGTCTAAAGTGTAGTCCAACATTCTTTCCTCCCCAATATGTTTTTCAAAACATGGATGCAATGAAGACAAGTGGCAGTATTCATGAGTTTGGTAGTCTCTACATTCTAGAATTGTCAACCACTGCTTCACAATCTCTTTTGTCCAGCATTAGTATTAATAAAGTTTGGATTTAGTAGAGGCACCTCCGACTTAGTCATTGGTCTCTCCAGTCTAATGAAAATTTTATTTCATAAGTAGTTCACTTCAACTAGTATGTCAGAACTTCAATGTGAAGTCCACGAGCCCTACAAACACGACGTCAATGCAAAGTTTGAACTTTTGAGGGATGTTCTAGAATCAAAAGGTTTAAAAATTAACCAGACTAAGAAAAAATATATAGAATATAAGTTTAGTAATAATAAGAGTAAAAACAAGGCATTAGTTAAGATTGATGGCCAAGAACTACCTAAAAGAAATTATTTCCGGATCTCAGGTCGATAATGCATAAGAATTGAAACATGAGGGAGATGTCATGCACATAATTAGACCTAGGCAAATGAAGTGGAGATGTGCTTCTGGAGTCTTATTTGATCGTCACATATCAATGAAACTGAAGGTGAATCTCTATAGGACAGCTGTAAGACCAGCCGTGCTTTATTGGATGGAATGTTGGGTGGTCAAGAACCTACATATTCATAGAATGAGTGTAGCTGAAATGAGGATGTCGAGATAGATGAGCGGCAAGACAAGAAAGAATAGAATTCAAAATGCATACATCCTAGAACTTAGGGTTAGCTCCAATAGGCAATATGTGGGGGTTTTGTGGCCGATTTAAAGGCCCTAAGAGCGTGTAAAATTATGAATATGGAGATATTGTACTCCAGTGCGAATGTGTTCCATGAGGACCAGAGAAGCATGCTTCGTAATGCCCTTGACTCATCTAGGTTTGACGATCTAGGCCCGGGATGGAGTAATAAAACTCTTTAGCCCTGGGCATAAAGCACAATTGTGGTGGGTTAGTGTTAGCTGTGTGTGGTTGTCGGGGCCTGTGAGGGAAAGGGCCAATCATCATCATAGACATCGCGTAGCATGTACATGTGATAACCATTCTTGGGAAGTGATCCATAGGGGTGTGACGTGTACATTTGCTAAAGAGAGGACCCCCGACCATTATGATAGTGTGCAAGTGACTTGTCCATAGGGGGTAATAAAATCCAAACACTAGGACGTGTTTCCACCATTTATTAGCCAGCTTTGATGGACCTATTGGGTCTCCTGTGTGTGGTTGTCGGGCCTATGAGGGAAAGGGCCAATCGTTATAATTGCTAACGCGTAGCATGTACATATGATAGTCGTGCTTGGGAAATGATCCATAGGGGTGTGATGTGTACATTTGCTAAAGAGAAGACCTTCGTCCATTACGATAGTGTGCAAGTGACTTGTCCATAGGGGGGACTTAAAATCCACACACTAGGACATGTTTCCACCATTTATTATCCAGCTTTGATTGATCAATGACCCTTGTGATATGCTATGGATAATGCGTTCTCTTGCTTTGGTTTGAGAAGATGATTGTGATTGACGTTACTAGCATAGCTGGAGGGCCTCTGTTAATTCACATGTTTCTTGACCAGATGAATTCAATTCCTTTTTAATTTTGTTTAATTATAATTATTTTTTTAAATTATGAGTTTCAAAACTATTTTCTTGTTCCCTTGTCTTGATGGTCCACATTGGTTTTGCGGTACCCTTGAATCACCAACCTTTTAGCTTCTTTACCATTTCACTCTCTCTTTTGAATGTTACCTTTTCACTTTCTCTTCAGCATCATTTAATGTTACAAGCCTTATGCTTGCATCACCTAGCCTCATGCTTGCATCATCAAGCATCATGCTTGCCTCATCTCCTCTTACCTTTCCATTTGTTGCCATCATATGCTATTCGACACCTGCCTCTCTCCACGTTCCCCTCTTTCACTCTCTTATCATACCACGTCTCTAAATGTTATATAACCCATATATAAGGGGCATGTAACATCAAGAGAGGAAAGAAGTAGTATACAAAATAAGGAGCTAGCACTTACAAGAAGACATGCCTTAAAGAGAAAACGGTGATGCATAGAAGAACAGTGAGATATTAAAAGAGTTTGTTCTTGTGTTTGAGGTAAGGCATGAAGGAGAAACATAAAGTTTGAAAATAGGAGAGGTATTTCTCAGATCTTTCAATTTTATTTACTATCAAATTGAGCTCTTATGTCCATGACCAATTTGACAGTGAGATCAGTATATTAATGTTGTGATTTTGAGCGAGTTTCTGAGCATGCAACTCAGTAACTCATAAAGACTTTGATCTAGCTGTATCTTGGGGATGTGTTCACTAGGGACCCTATTGCATCTCGGAATTGTACCAGGTATAGGTGATCAACACTTAAAAGAAAGTGAGCTCCTCTCATGCCTGCTAATCCTCAACATCCATTGTCACTAAGTATAACGTCTAAAACCTGATCCTCTACAGGAATTCGACTGGTTCAACGACCGTTTTTATTGCCTGATATTACTCCAAAATCTATTCTAATTCCTACGGGAATCCAACTGGTACTAGGAGTGTTTTGGTAGTTATCTTCCGACACTAATTCTGGATAAGGGAAAGTGCTGCCGAATTTTCGGGAATAGGGTGACAATGAAAACTGCAAAAAACCTAACAATTTATTTGAATTATGGAGCACTAAAATGAATTATTAAATTTTTCTATATATTTTATTTTCCCAAGATGAATTTTTATGGGCTTAAAAATGCATTTTTAGACATTTAACAATGCAGAGCAATTTCAGAACAATCAAATTGTCTTTTAAAATTTTTCTGACGGCATTAAAATTGTGGGGTTACGTGGGGATATGGGCCCCACATCTTGGGAGGCCCACATGATGGCCTGTGGGGCCAACGAGGGGCTTCTACGAACCCATACTAGAAAAGGCTAACCAACAAGCAAAGTTCACTGGAAAAGGAAACACAAAGCCAAACACATATGGCAAAGACAAGAAGAATAAATCCAACATGAAGATTTTTGTTATGGTATTCGAGCCTACCAGACCCATTACAGCAGAGACCACAATTGCCGCCAAAGCAGACTGCACAGAAAAAGTAACATGTTACCATAAAGAAGTATATAAAAACATATCCTATGAAGTGCAACATATTTTTATATTAAAATAATATCAAGAAAATTGAAAAGACCAATGATTTTGGATGGCTTGGATTGCAACATACTTTTGCAATAAGATGTAGCATTAAGTTTTTTCTAAAAACAAATACTCTCGATGGTAGATGTTAACCAACAAGCAAAACACATCATCTAGAAAACTGAGACATTCAAGGTTTAGCTGCGTGAATGAAGCATATCCATCTTGCCAGAAAGTAAATGAAACATATGAAACAAAAATAAATAAAACTAGAGTTTTTCTTTGATCTTGCACCTGAGGAATGTCACTGAACAAAGGTGTCAAGAACAGGAGGGCACATCCCACAATGATTCCCATAATAATTCCAGATAGACCTGTCTTTGCTCCGCTTTCATTATTAACAGCTGACCTAGAAAATGATCCTACAAATCAAACCAAACTACAAAATAGGTAAAAATCTATCCAAAGGTTCCAGTTTTGTGATGCACACACGTTAAACGACAGTGTAAATTATGCATCTTTCCCAATTACAGTGGCGGGTAAATCATGTCATTTGAGAATACCAACTCACAATTTTACCTGTTGTTGGGTATGCTGAGAAGAATGAACCACAGATATTTGCTACACCAAGGCCGAATAACTGAAAAGAAACTTTATAAGATTTTGGCAATTGTAATAATCATGATAGACTCATCACAAAATAAACTCAATAAAGAGAACACTACAAAAGTACTTAGATGAGATACAACCAATTATGCATCATACTATTCAAACGCATTATTGTCCCAGACAACTAAATGCTTTCCATGAGATCAAATAGAATCAAACAATTTAATTATCATATAAAATATAAATCCTTAAGACAATGTTCAACCAAAAGCCCTGATTTCAGAAAGTTTTGGTCATAAGTGCTGAGGATTTTCACTAAACAGAAAAATTGAGCCACACAAAATACTCAAAGACGCCCATGATCATAAAAAATAGGACCTACGGTGATGCAACATTTTATAGGGTGTATCAATTTGTCCCCACATTCATTTGGCACTTTCGCAGGCTCATTTTGAAGATCTCATCGAGCGCTACAACTTTTATACTAACAAATCTCTTACAGATAGTATGGAATAGACAACTTAGAAGATAGTATGCAGATCATATGGAATAGACAACTTAGAAGATAGTATGCACCACCATGGTCATATGGCGTCAGAAGGATGAAGAAGGATGGAGCTCCAAAGTGCAGGGCCTGGAGGCCTCTCTCCCTTTCCCTATTTAAGTAATACTCATAAGATGTCTGTATAGAAATGAGGGCGAGCAAGGCTTTAAATAGAAGTGTGGTAGTATGACAATTGTGATTGAATAAATCTAAGTTGTTGATGCTATTCATCTATGGCACCTGAGAGGGCTATGATCCTAGCCATTTATCCATGTCTAGCCATCAAGATCAATAGCTATAATTACACACCTTTATCACTCTATAAAACCCTAGATCAAGATATATTTATGAAAATAATAAAACACCAAAAAGAATAGGGGCATGCCCTTATGGTAATTTGGAAGCTCTATTTTATAAAGTACTACAATTAAGATAATTTTCATTTAGAAGCCCATTACAATGTGCCATTTAATGGAATTCATATGAGCTTAGCCAGTAGGATTAAGCCACCTAAACAAGTGAGTCAAGGTAGTATTCCCATCAAATACCTAGGGCTTAGATAAAAATATCATGGCTAGCCCTCACCCCTAAGCACATATGATCAAACCCACATGTGTGGTAAAACCCCATGTGATAATTGAAAACAATTAAGTTATAAAAATAACTTTATTTAGAACATTATAACCAAAACGAACAAACATAACTTCAAAATACGATGCCCCCTATAGTTTGACATCATCACCTACGTGGGGCCGTGAGGTGCCACATGGCCACCCTATGGCCACTTGGGTGCCATGTGGGCCCCCACTAGCAGACCTTCCATGGAATAAGCCCCAAACAAATTTGAAATACTTACTTTAGACTCCGAAAAATTCTGAAAAATTCCAAAAAATTTCTAAAACATTTTCCTCCAAAAATGCTCATTTCACTTCAAATTAAAATCAGATAATTGATCAATGAGATCCCTAGGCTGAAATCTAGGTATCAGAGTACTCCACTGAGTTAGTCCATAATGGTGATCCATTATCTCGAAATGACCCACAAGCCTATACTGAAAGCTTCAAAAAGGGGATCTAACACAACATATATAGTTTTAAATTTTTCTTATCATCACCAACTATAACACTTACAATGGTCTAAATACAATTAAATCAACTCAAATTAAACCAAATAATCAACTAAAAGACGTTCTCACTTGCAGCCACTAATTACAAGATCTTTTATTCAATAAATAAAAACAACATATAATGCTTATGAGAATAGAAATTACAAAAGACCATAAGACTGCAAAGTACAAAGAAAGATGCCGAAGATTACTTCAACCGGACCTAGTACACCCCATTTTGGGTTTTTTCCTCCAATGGCACACGAGATCAATAGTCTATTTTAGATCTACAAAGTATGGGAAGCCTAGGCTACAACCCTTTAACAACATGATAGCAATGGAACATAACTAACCTAGGTATCAATGCCTTAGAGATGGTATGGGTGTGTCTCCTTCTTGCACCAAGCTTGGGGCATGCCCCTTCTTACTATCTAAATATGCTAAGGGAGAGATGAGAGAGAGATCTTAAATGAGAGAGAAATATGAAGACGAAGATGTAGAGATTTAGTGGAGATAGGGCCCTTATTTATATATTCTTTTTAGGGCTAGGGTTTCTTAGAGTTAGCTATACTTATGGAGATTAGATCCAGACCATTGATCATAGGAGACCTGTGCGGTCAGAGATTTGAACCATCAATCCTTAGATCAATCATTATGATACAAAAGAAGGTGCTAGAACCTTATCCTTCAGTTTCCTAAACCTAATCCCATCAATAGAGAAAAATAATATTATACTTTAATTTTCCACAATCTTCTTACTCGTATCTTCTTTGGATATTCAAACTACTCAAAACATAAAACTTTCCATAACAATTAACTTGATTGAATGCCTTGAATAACAAGGCCTTGAAATAAGGAAAGTATGCCCACTATGTGGTGAGTGCCTCTCATGGGGCTCCCAATTGGGCCCCATGCACAACCCATGGTGGGCCCTCTATGGGCTCCCATGTAAATAATGATTTATAAAATTATAAAATTGATTTTTAGAATATCAAAAATAAGCATTATTTCTCTTTGAATATTTAAATACTTAAAATTCAATATTTCTCAATTTATAAATTAATTTTGTGGAAATAAAATATCTAGAGCCTTCTAAAAATTTAAATAATCAATTTAAAAATCCTTTATGATGAAAATAATTAATTTCAGATAATTTTGATGGGAATTTGATCCAACTCGGATTAGGAATTATAAAATTGTTGAAGCACCTCATCTTCTACTGTGGACTATAATCCATTCTTGTTTTCTAAAAACTAACCCAGTAGTTCCCATGACCCACAAACCACTGCAAAGTTTCATGATTAGGCTACAAAAATCAGCCAATAAGCAAGGGGACACAATCTATATCTACAGATTACAGGTTCTCCTAAAGACCAATCCAAAGTCATACAAACCTGATGCAACCACAGTTCTATGGTGCATACGGGTTATCTCTCACAAACGTATATACTTCACTTTCAACGGTGATTCATTTTCTCAATACGGCTATCATATGTACATGTCATGTGATGGTTCAATGATGAGGCTTTGGCCCTCATCTCTAGAGGCCTACCATCACACATAACAGTCACACTGTCTGTTGGCTCACTATCCTTCTCATCAAGGGATGACTCTGCTAACTCTCATCAGTTTTGCTCTATGCCCAAGTAATAAGGGTTTTCCAAATCGATTGGCCTAGCACGTCAAGCCATATTTGAGTACAGGCAAATAGCATTTGCCTATCTCGATCCAATAGGACCATACTCCCATTGAATTTATGCTCAACTATATCAAAATATTGATTACATGCTCTCATAAGGCTTTTAATGGCCACAGAAACCCAACATCTCCCACTATTCCTTTGAAGGCCTTACAATTTATCTTCCTCACTTTCTCACGGCCCCATCTCTTTCACATGTTTTACAAAACCAATGCAGCTAGCCCCTTTCTAAGCAGGTCTGCAAACCATTACCTCTGTAGGTATGTAAATGATCTTGATCTCTCCATATTGCACCTCATTGCGCAAATGATAATAGCAGGGCTTTATGTGCTTGGAATTTTTATTGAATCGTGCCTCCTTTGACACACATATTGCGGCCGTGTTGTAGGAGAAGATTCTCATGCAGTCACATCGTAAGGGCTCAAACTCAAGCCAATTAAGAAACTTCTTAATCCATACAACGTCCGGCTACCATGCAAACATGTCACATACTCTGACCTCATGGTGGCTAACGCTACCACATCTTGTTTCTTCGACTTCAAAGAAACGGTCCCTCCTCCAAACATGAATACATATCCAGATGTGGACTTCGCACCATCTGGATTTCTTTAGCAACTCGCATCAGATTATCCACTAATAGAAATTTCAATCCGACCCCATAAGTAGGCATGTAGTTCTTAGTCCTTATTAAGTATCTTAGAACTCTCCTAACCACCTTCCAATGCTCAATCCTATGCATTGGAACCGGCTAATCATGCTCATGGCAAATGACAAGTCAAGCCTTGTTCCTATCATGGCATACATGAGGGACCCTATTGTACTTCTATATGGCACTTTTTCCATGGCTTTTTTTTTTCTTCGTCACTAGGACACATTGTTGTGCAAGGAATTTCTTTGTCTCCAGCACGAGGGCAATTGAGTTACTAGCCATTAGCATATCATCCACATATACGAAAATGAATACAAAATATTGATCTTTTTATAGATGCGGTAGTCTTCATCATTTGAAGAAAACCCTGCCAGAGACAGTCTCTTGAAACTTGATGTACCACTGGCACGATGCTTGTTTCAGGCCATAGAGTTCACACACAAGGTTCTCCTTTTCCTTTTCTTCAAATCCCTCAGGTTGTTTCATGTAGATTTCCTCTTCTAAATCCTCATTTAGAAAGGTTGTCATTACATCCATTTGATGGACCTCAAAGTCAAAGTGGGCTGCTATAGCTATCAAGATTCTAATGGATGGAAACTTCGTAACTGGAAAAAAGGTTTCCTCATAGTCTACCCCTTCCTTTTGGGTGAATCCCTTCGCTACTAGCCTAGCTTTGCATTTTTCTAATTTCCCCTCTAAGTTCAGCTTTTTCTTGAAAATCCACTTGCATCCTATTGCCTTACAGTTTTGAGCTTGAGGTACTAGTTCCCAAATATGGTTTTGATTTATGGAATGGTATTCATCTTTAATGGCTTTAACCCTATAGTTCCTTTCAGGACAGGTTATGGCTTCTTGATAACTGGCAGGCTCATGATCTGGCTCATCCCCAACCGTCTCATAATATTCCCCTAGATAGGTGAAAAAATACAGGTTGTCTACCAATTCGGTTGCTTCTCCTAACTGGAGATTCCGGTTCTCAAGCCTTAACCTTGTCACTAGCCTCCTCAAAGAGATCAGCTCGCTTGTAACTTGCT